AATTTCTCCAATCAGATTCAGATCTGTAAACGCACATGTACTGGAGGGAATCATCTGAATTTGCTTGAAGCAATCTCCATGGAACAGTCTGCCTTCTTAAATCCATCACAGGGAACTGAATGGCTTAACATTCATAATCTTTTTATAGAAATTATTAACTGTTCCTGTGCTATTGCCTGGAAACTATGAGATATAAGCATAAACAAAAAAACGGATGCACAGCTCAAATATCTGAAGTCATTGAGACAGTAATGAATTAGTGTAGTAAAAATGGATAATCGCATTGCTTTTAGTGCAAATCGCATAGGCAAATCCATCAGCTGACAAATAATTATTGCTGTTATGGAACAATGAATCCTTTCAATGGCATAAAAAAAACCTGAGGTTTTGCAATTTCTAAACTGGCACTATTTAATGACCCATGGTACTGATAACTATATATGCATATAATAAAATGTTCTTATTTACTTAACAAAAGGGAGGGCAAAAACATATATCTTGACTTATTTGCACAGATCAACCTGTTCAAATGTATTTTTGTATTTGCAATTTGCTTGACAGATAGGGATTCTTAAAAACCTCATGAAATTTCATAAAAATCTATCATACTTTTTCCTGAAATTCAAATTGCAGGGACAACTAAGACTTCAGAAAGTCTGCTGTTTATAAATAACAAAGTACACCAGCAATGAAATAAACAATTATTGAGTTCTAGAGCAGAGAAGCTAATACAAAAACACAGAAATATTTCCTCACTGAACTAAGAGGAGAAATTATCCAGAGGCTGAGAAGATTCTCAGTTAATATTTTATATAGACATTAGTGGATCTCCCAACACAGGTTAGCGTGATTTGCATTGACTTTTGAATAAATATTTTTCAAGGTAGTACTTGGCTATTGGAAGAAGCAGGGAAGAGAAAGTTTGCACATGCTTCAAGAATTTCAAATTCATTTTATAGGCAATTTTTCTCAAGTTGGCATTCTTCAGAAGTATCAAAACTACAATTTACAAAAACCTTTGTAACCTCAAGGATTGAGAATCTAGGGGTTAAAACCCCAACACATCTAGAAGCATCAGATTTAATAACCTGTTTTAGGATAAAAGCTCCAATTTATTTCAAAATATATAAATTTGTAAGTTTTAATTTAGAGAAAACACATTGGAAAGCTTCGCATAGATGAATTTAAGATATCTCAAGCAATTCCTGTATATACTTTGAATCTATGTGCAACAGAGTGGGGTGAGATGTTGACATCATGCAAGTATTAAAACAAAAGCATATCAACTTCCCCAAACATATTTTGAAACGAAGATCAGACTTGTGTTTATCTTCTTAAAAAAGTACCAAAATATTTCTAAACTCCATGACCAAGGAATGAGTCAAAATTTCTCAATCTAACATTAAGAAATTACAGAAAAAGGTTGATGACAGCAAGCACCACTGTAAACATTCAAAAAGGTGCACAGAAAATTTTGAGGAGTAATATTGAGTTTGCATGACACATGAAATTCTAAAGTACTTAACCACATTTTAGTTTAGTTTTGTGCAATTTAGTCTATGTTACTACTTTCAGGTGAGCCCTATATACCCATAGAGTTAGGTGAAGCATGTCACACAAATATGTCTATTTAAGTAAAATATAGACTGAAAATGACTGATTTAAAGAGTACACTAACAAATTCATAGCTCTGAGAGAGTCATTTAAAACAAGCAAAAAAGTCACTTAGTAGCTTGCTTTGCACTAGAGTTGGCTTGTTCTTACAAATGCACACAATTTTCAATGCTCCCTTTCACCACTTCAACCTGGAATCCAAAATAAATATTTTCTATCCATGACTGGCAAGCCTGAGGCACTGAAGAACTATCATTGGATGGTTTAGATTGGAAAGAATTAAAGGATTACTAAACAAGAATTACATTTCAGAGGAAGAACATGAACATGTAGATTACAGACTTATTATAAGCAAAAAAAAATGTTTTCCTATATGAGGAATGACAGAGTTGTATAATATGTGAGCCAATAAACAAAATTTAAAATAAGACACAAAGCACACTTTGAAGTAAGTTTGTACAACAAGAGTTTTAAATTCTATTCAGACAACATTGACAAAGAGACTGCTTCAGAAATTCTAACTTGTAGAAAATATTATTGCTGACAGAATTCAGAAAAATATCCAAAATAATTTTCAAAATACCAAAAACTTAAAAGAGGAAGAGACTGAGAATGCTCTTTTAATGAATTATACTGGCAAATTGTATAGGGAATTTTTCATATAGCCAATAGAAGTCCTCTGAAACAGAAAGAGGAGCCAAATCAAATTCTGTAAAGTATAGGGAAAAATGGGATTCAGAATTCCTTCCAGTATGAGGAAATATGGGACTGTTTCTATACATGCTGCTCAGCTTACAAAAAGATTCAGAACTTCAGAATGAGTGGATTCATATGCCCCATAAAAAGAAAAAAAAATCCTGGAGCAAGTTTCATTGCTGGAACAATTAGTATAGTATAGGATCTCTATATAACCTTGTATATGAAACGGTCAAACATGGCCACCATGTTTCTTTTTTCACCTTTTAAAGTAACAAGGAGAATCATTTTTTTAACTTTGATTTTATAGCATTTCACCAATTAACAGAAAGTCATTAAAAGGACTAAAAGTATCTGTATTAAAAGATAACAGCTAATCAAGATTTGAGTTACATGTTTTATCATGAAATCAGAGCAAGGTGCTATCTCATTTAGAAGGCACTAAGACAAAATATTTTGAAAAAAACTGGCTTTCCCAAACTATCACATGGGCTAGATAAGCTACAGAGTATGGTATTTGATGCAAAATACTACAGTAAGTAAAATCCTTTCAGACAAACGTTTCAAATTAAAAACAACTTTTTGTACAGGAAAAGTGTATTAAACATCAGCAAATAAAAACAAACACGCCAATGGGCATGGACATGTGAAGTGTTTAAATGGTTAACTTACTATATAGTATTACGTTTTAACTATGAACAGGCCAATTCAAGTGTATGTGTGTATATGCATGTATGTTAATATATTAAAATCATATAACTTATATATTTAAACAAAGGACAAAGTAAACCAATGAACTGTTCTGCATTTTAACAGGTGATCCAAAATACAAGATTTACTTTAAGATATGCAATTAATTTCGCTCTGGTAAGGACTAATTTTTCAAGGCAATATGAAAAATTGAATAAATTTGATAGCATGAGTATAAAACAAAACAAAAGAAGAATGGAGTTTCTATCACAAAACAACAATAAAGTACATGTAAAATAATTCTCAAAATTAGCAGTAATTTGTCCTATTTCCTATCCACCATTCCTCCCATGCTAAATCAAGAATTCCAAGTTACTTAAGATATGACTTGAACCTAAACATTTAAAAGGGCTTTTTTTTTCAGATGCGACTTCTAAATTAAATTAATACTAGAAGGAAGAAAAGAAAAAAAGCTAATCAAAAATTAACTAGTCAACAGTGTTATTAGAAAAGATTTGCACATTAAGGGAAAAATCAAAGAAGCAAGTGCTACAAAAGCACCTATTTTAAATTATTTCAAAATGATTACCAAGAATTTAAACATGTGAATTATGCAGAATTTTCTGAAGTTGGTTAAGACTGAAGAGGGCATTAAACTGATTATAAGATCAAGGGCATGTGTTATGTTCTACAAAAAATAATGCAAAACCTCCAGCTACTGTAGAAAGTGAAACTACTGAAAAACCAGATTAATAACAAGTTGCTACATTTTCATTTGCTCACAGGTCCCAGACATGCAAGGGCAAATTAATACAAGTAAAGCCAAAAGGCAGAATTAGAAAGAGATAAAACTGTTAAGATGGTATAAATAGGTAGATATGCATGAAAATTACAAATGACACCAGATGCAGAATTGAAAAAGACTTGTCATACATTGTGACTTACAACCACTGAATTTAAATGATATACCGTATATTTAGCATCACTACATTGGTGAGAGAACCACTTTGCTTCAGGCCACGGTGCTGCAAGAATACCCTAAAGAATTAGACCTAAGCAGGACCAACCGAGCAAGGAAAAACATGCATGAAAGATTATTAGCGCATGGTAGAGCCAAGAATACTATGGAAAAAGAAAAACGGTTCATGTGCTAGTCTGATAATTGGCCTAATGCTAATCCTTACAGGACCATTCTATGCTGTGTTAATTTAGTAAAATATAGGAGCAGAATGATGGTACAGTCCCTGCTAGATAATAGAGTTGGCTCAGAAGAGGCATAAGCACAGAAAGAAATGCTCATTTGCATACACTGTCTTAAACTTAGGTTGGATCAAATAACCTGTTCCTCAAACTTCCCCTATTAGTTTAACACAGGAACATTGTGCTAGCATTGTTTAACACAGGAACTTTTATATTAAGAAAAGAAAAATAACACAGAAAGTCACCCACAGCCAGAGATCCCCAACTTTCAAGTAACTATGTCTCTTGGACAGCTATATTAAACAACACTGCAGAATTTCATAATATTTTGTGCTATGTTGATAAGCCAACCTTTTATGTTCACTCTATGTTCAATGTATTAAGTGAATATTCACCTAGTTTTACTCAAACATTTGATACATCCTCTTTGAGAATGAATTATTCAAGTTAACTATATTGCAAATTAAAAAGAGAGGACAAATTACATTCTGTATGCTTCTTTTAGATTGAAAAAATATGTGTTTTAAAGGCTTGTCATTCAAAGTGTAGAAGAAAACATTTCTGTTAAAAAATCCAATATTAAAAAAATCATTAAGACACTGGTATTTTTCTTCTAATCTTACAAATCTTACAAATATACTACAGCTTAACCAAAAAAAGATGTCATCATGAGCATGCTGCTGTTTAGCATGCAATGCCACTGATAACTGTTTGGTTCCAGATATCAAAATAACTTCAATTCCCCAGCTGCTAATCCCCCTCCAAAGCCCTCATTAATAACAATCTTATTTTTAAAAAAGGTAAAATCTAGAGTTAGTGGCAATTCTTTATCTTCACAGTAAATTGTTAACAAAGTGAGCTGTATAATGGTCATCTGTAAAATGGCATCATCAGTCAATTGGACCCTGAAAAATAAGTTTGACGCAGTTCTGGTCTCCAGATAGCTGGGTAGCACAAAAAGGGCAGGCAGCATGGAATGCGTGAGTACCATGTGGCAATGGGATCTGAGACCAGTATTTGGCAGATTTTTCTGAGCATACATGCCCGCAAGGGGTGAAAGCATAAGTTGGTGGACCAGCATCAACATAAAAGCCTGCCTCACACCCAAGCCAAAGAGGAACATAGGGACCAACAGTTCTGCACATAGGGCATTCACGCTCATTGGCTTCTGTATCACTGCGGTGTCCCCAGTTATGATAACCATGGACATGGCCACAGCTGAGGTAAGCCCACGGTTGTTTTTCTTCGACCACTTCTTTACGGTTAATGCTAGGAAAAGCCAGTGTATTCAGTCCCACAGGGCACTGGGGCCTTGCAGCATTGATTTCTTGTCGTAGAGCCTCAATGTGTTTCTGAGTTGGTGTGTGAAATAAGCCATCTGCTGTTCTCCACAAGAGAGTGGCCCCACATAGATCAACGAGAGAACCATCTTGTAGGATGTTGGTTTCATTTTCCACCTAAAATGCCAGGCAGAAAAGAAGAAGAATTTGAAATCAATTCCTTTCTCAATGTTCCTCACACTTCTGGAATCAATGAAAGTTTCATTTTCCCTTTAAATTTTTTTTTATTGTGATGACCCATCCAGCCTTTTCTTTTTTTCCTGTGTAGAACACTGAGATAATGGCATCAGTACAACAAATACCTGAATAAGAACTAGAGCAATGGACAATTATTATTTGTTATTATTTTAGCAGTCTTTTCTAACTTCTGCATACTTAAGAGGTGTGAGTTCATCTACCAGAATTTCCTAGCCAACACAATTCCCTATATCCATATCCATCTGATTTATAAGCTGCCCCCATTACCCAAGTCTAATAATTAGCCACAAACATATTCAAATAATAAAATAAATAGAAAAATGCTTGTCTGAGAGCCTGTTGAAAGAGCCACGTTCCAAGGCTTGCATAAACAACAACAGTGCTATGGCTGCGTGGACTTTGGAGGAGTGAATAGGTGATATTATCTCATATAGGGCAGATAGAGCTACAGGAAAGCACTGAGATCTGACAGCAATTGAATGATGGAACCTGAAGCATCCCACTATACTAATTTTATAGGATGGGAAAACATAAATAGAAGAGGTGTTTCCATAGATCATCAGGCCTCAAGCCACAAAGAACTTTTTACACCCACTTTTTGTTTAGCGATTTCAGTTAGCAACCATTTGCAATATGATAGTAATCAAAATCATTTTCCAGCCAATGCAGCATTTACTATCAAATTTCATGCCCTGACAACACATAGAGAAAATCTGATTGACATGTCAGCAATCAGTGATCTTCATTGAGTTTCTCTCTCTCTCTCAGGTGTTCATCATTTCTTTTACTTGGTCGTCGGAATGGAACTCCATCGCTAAATGAGGACTGGGTGTAAACGATGACCAGCACTTTGAATTCCACCTACTTACCAATTACCAGCCAGTATAGATTGTGAAGCAGAAGTGAACCTAGAATGTTTCAAGGTATACCCATATCCACTCACAACTCCACAATCATGGCCAAATGTGGCTACCAATTAGTCTTCAAGGGCAGCCCACATACAATACACTGTAACAGTCCAACTTTGTGTAGTATCTCCCAATTCAAGAAAGATTCTAAGTATATCTTTATGTATCTTTGTGAGCTGCAATGATTTCCAGTCTGTCTCTGGATGCAACTCAAGGTGCTAGTTATCACCCACAAGACCCAAGGTAATGTAATTTGCAGGATTCTTCAACTCTTATGGTCCCCATCCATTTCACCAGATCCAGCATGTTAGGTATCCTCAAGGTCCCTTTTGTTAAGCTGGACTTCTTTCCCCCCAAATCCCTGTGTGGCTTCTCTTTCGGGAGGTAAAATGGTTCTGTTGTAAGATGGATTCGTGTTTATTTACCTTTGCAGAGTTTTTTTGTTGTCTTGTTCTTTAAGCTTCTTTTGAATAATATTTACTGTTGGTTTAACTAAGAACCACTTTAATATTCTTTAATGCCTAGAAATAATTTTAAATCATGTTTTTCATCATTAACTTACTAGCTTGCCTCTTTGTTGAGCAGATCTTGTTTCCCGTAGAGTATATACATCACCGCAGACTGAAATTTCTCGCCAAACACCAGGTTTAGATTCTTCAGTGAACCCCCCTTTAGGATGCATGACTAGAACGCCATTAGTTGTTAATCCATCCATGTGCCCGTCTGGATTCTTCCATTTTGCTGCTTTTTCCTAAACAAAATGCCACAGCAAAAAATTAAAAAAAAATATTCAGGCTTTCCACACTTGCATTACCAAGTGCTTAATACAGCCAAGTATTAGCAGCCACATATCAGAGGATAAATAGAAGAACAAGAATACAGCTTGGAATCAAAAACAGATTATCAGTAACTTGGACTAAATGCTGTACAACTAAATACTATTTTTGCTAACGGGTTTCCTTTATCCATTTCAAATAGAAAATAAGTTTGTCTTAATTACGGCCCTTCCAATAGATCATATACAGCAGCTTTCTTTGGCTTCATCTGTAAAATACTTTAATATTTATTATGAGAGACGCAGAAATAAATAATAGTCAATAAATAATATGTAAGTGGAACTAATTACCTGGGATTAATAGGGAAAGGAAAAGGAGAAAATGAAGTCTATTTTGAGATATATAGCAATTAAAAAAGGAACCGAATAGTGTTTTCAGAGAAAGAATGGACAAATTCTGACCAAACATTCAAAACAAGCACTGCCTGTATTAGTTAGTCAAACTCAGTTCTCATTTCTTGCTTCATTTTTTTTACAAAAATAAAAATGCTGCTCCTTTGTACCACTACCATTGCTAAATGATCTTATTATATTATTGACTGCTTTCTTTGATTATTAACTCTACATATAAACTAAACATACATAAGGTGCTCTAAGTTGGCAGTGATGGGAGCAGCATATAAACATAGCATAAACAAAACAAAACAGAGGAAGCAAACAAGCAGGCCAGCCAAGCCAGCAAACTATCTACTTCTATCTGAGGTTCTGGAGAATTGCTACTAGTTTAAAGCCCATAATATTGGATAAGACGATTAAGCATTCTAGAGCGCAGTGCATAGGTTGCGTTTAAAGACCACCTAGAAGGTTCAACTGATGCAAAATGCAGCATCCTTGGTGCTCATGGGTGCTTGCTGTTGGACACACATTATACCTATTTTGGAAACCTGCAATGGATTCCTATCAGCTTCCAAGTGCAACTTAAATTACTGGTTTTAATCTATAAAGCTTTCTATGGCTTGGTGTTGTGTTATCTTCCTGTCCGCATCTCTCTGAAATCAGCACAACCATTTTGATCATGCTGGGAGAAGCAATTGGTTGGCTCTCATTTTTGGTATTTCAAAGAGACTGAGGCCCGGTTGCACAGTTTTTACCACCAGCTCAACTCTCTGGAAGTGCTTTTAGGAAGCTTCTTAAAACACAGTTTTTCTGGTGGTGTTTTGGGAGCTGATGCCAGATGCTCTATTTTCACTGTTGGTTTTATTTTCATTGTTATTGCTGGTTTTATCTTGTGAGTTGCCAAGAGTTAGTGTGTGATTGTAATTGGATGATAATGTGGTATATAAATACATATATAAAAGTACGACTATTCTCAGAACTCTTTATTCCTATTTTTATAAAATGGATGGATTTGCAAGAAACAGTCATCACTCTGAGAGAAGCTATTATATGAAGCAGCCCTTCATCATATGACACAGAGGTCATGTCCTGACTTATATGAAAATTTGGTATACTCACCCCAAGGAATATGTTTTTGGAAGAGTCAAATCCTGCAGCAAAAATTCTGGCTGTGTATGGTGCATTCCGGTCACAGACAATGCGGCATGCAAACCTGGAAATAGTACTTTGGGTGATCTGCGTTTCATCACTGTTTTGGCTGCCTGAAATTGTATCTGTTACAACAAAATCTATGGGGCTCTCTGTTGATCTGCCAACCTGAAAGAGTTAATAGTATATAAACAAAAAATCCCATAAGTGAAGTCCTGTGAACAAATCAAAGCGTAACTGTTCTTCACAAGCCCTCCCCACTAGAAATGGGCATAGTTTAAGTCAGCGTTTCTCAACCTTGGCAACTTTAAGATATATGGACTTCATCTCCCAGAATTCCCCAGCCAGCATGGGGAATGCTGCTTCAGGATGCAGATCATCCTATATTCAATCACAGTTTGGAGGATCAGAGGTAACTGAATAGAAAAAAGACCTCTGCCTGAGGCTTGAAAATTACAGGTAGTCCTTGACTTACAACAATTCACCTAGTGACTGTTCAAAGTTACAATGACACTGGAAAAAGTGACATATGGCTGTTTTTCACACTTATAACCATTGCATGCCCACAATCATGTGATCAAAATTCAGATGCTTGGCGACTGGCTCATATTTCTGACGACTGCAGGCTCCTGGGGTCATGAGGTCACCTTTTGCAACCGTCTGACAAGCAAAGTCAATGGGGAAGCCAGATTCACTTAACAGCCATGTTGCTGACTTAACAGCTGCAGTGATTCACTTAACAGCTGTACCAAGAAAGGTTGTAAAATGGGGCAAAATTCACTTAACTGTTTCACTTTGCAACAGAAATTTTGAGCTCAATTGTGGTCGTAAGTCGAGGACTACCTGTATTACATTCAAGTTAAATAACATTACACTAGATGTACTGTTAGATGCACTCAGGAATTTCTTATTTTCACAATAAATATCGCTTACCAGAAGATATCTGCATACAGGTAGTCCTCAACTTATGACCATTCATTTAATGCCAGTTTGAATTAATGATGGCCTTGGAAATGATGCAAAACTTTGCATGCGCACACACACACCAGTCACATGACCACAGTCTGGGTGCTTGGCAACCTCTTTGCACTTATGACAAGTTGCCAAGTGCCCCATAATCATGTGATCATCATTTGCAATCTTTGCCGGCTTCCCCAGAAAGTCAATGGGGAAGCTGGCTGGGAATGTTCAAGTTGCTGCTACTTGTTGAGAAGATTCCTTCTAGTCTCTGGAGGGTGGCTGAAAGAACTCCCTGTCAAAAGATTTCAGCTCCATGCCTGCTTGGATTTCAGCAGAGATCGCTTTCAGTCAACCCCCAGAGAGAAAGAACTCCCTGCTGAAAAATTTGAGCTCTGCCCTGCTTGGATATTGGCAGGCTCCAACATCCAAGCAGGCATAGAGCTCAAATTCTTCAGCAGGGAGCTTTTTCAGCCAGCCCCCAGAAATGAGAGGCAGCCAAAATCCAGGCACGATTTTCAGCCCCTGAATGGAGAGGCAGCATGAAAAGGTAGGGAGTGCAGAGTGCCTCAGGAAGGTGAGGAAGTCTCTGGGAAGACCAGTGCAGGCCCCCATGTGAGGATCTCTCCACTCGGGGGCTGAAAATCATGCTTGGATTTTAGCAGGGAAGATTTTCTACTCCTGAGTGAGAAGCACTCACGTGCAGCCTGCACCTTACAAGGTCTCCTCCAAGCCTCTGAGGCACCCTGCATGCCTTCCCCGAGACTCATGTCTGCTTAACAACGACCATTAGGAGCAAAACAACCATATGACATCTCTCTTAACCACTGAGAGTTCCAATTGTGGTCATAAGTTGAGGACACTTGTATTGCCTATGTGCGATTCCTCAAAAATGTTTGCCCCATCATGTTTTATTTAAGAACATGCTATCACAGTAATTACTGTAGTTTTTGATAGCCTGGACTTGAATCAATAAACCTGCTACAAAAGTTATCTGAAGCCCACATACACTTTCCAAAATCTGTGCCTCAACTGTTTTTTAATGTAATATTCATAGATTACTGCCACAGATGCAATTATTATCTAGAAATTTTATGTGTTTATTTGATTTTTTTCTTTTCTTTAGTAGAGGACTCAAATCAACATACACAATGCTCCGTACTCCCCCCTCCCCCAAACAACCATTCTGGAATACAATTTGGTCTGAGAAATTGCTTTATGAAGTATTACTATCTAGATCCATTTTTTAAAAATTCATCTAGGCAATTCTCTGGGTAAAGTAGCTTATTAGGTTACAGGAAAACATTAAAACTTATTGCTGAAAAAAATTCAATTGTATTTTTTTTTTAAAAAAATCAACATTTGCCAGATGAGTTACTGAAACACCACTACATTTCCAATTTCATGCATTGTTTGCCATTCAGACATGACGCTACTTTATCTGATAGCTTTCATTCTAATAGGTGAAAATAGTGAAACATATTGTCAAATCCAGTGTTTTTCTCCCATTTGAATATCCATCTGACTTACTTTGTCAACTACGAGACCAGTGTTACAAATATGCTCCAAAAAACAACTAGGCTGCTAACAGGCAGGAAGGAGAGGACAATCCCCTCCTATCTGTAGCCAACACAGAAATTCAGGATATTTTGTAATGGCCTTCTGTCAAGCAAATTGGTGAAAAAGTGGAACAATCTGTCCCTCTCCATCAGCCCATTACATTTCCATGCTAATTATGGAGGAAGAGGCTTCCTGTCCTAGCATGGAAATAAAGTGCACTGGCAAAGAGGGGATGGAGCAATCCAATCTGTTCATTTGCCTCAAAGCAATTCCTGGTTGTCCAGGCTACCAAAGAAGGCTTAAATACCAGGCTGTATCAGATAGTTGCCATAGTGAATATATGTCGCTCAGGGCTGAGTTGCTGGGTTGTTGGCATTCTCTGTGCTTACTTTTCTTCCTGCAGACATTTCATTACCAAGCTAGGTAACATTTTCAGTGCACAGGGAAGTGGAGATTACTGATTGTGTAGATGAGGTAGCTTGTCCTACCAGCCTTGATTGAGGCATCGCTTCTTCCTGGATTGCTTCTGAGTTAGATATTGTTTCTTCTTTGATTGTTCTTGTTTACCTGGTGTGGTTCAGGTTTACATGGGTTTTGTGTCAGATACTATCAACTACCTCAAGACTATAATTTCAGCAGCATTATCACTCTCAGAAAGTCCAAGCTGGTTCATGACTGCTTATCTTGTGGTATAAACACTTATATTTTTTACATTCTAGAATCAATGTATAGGAAGCATTTAATTGCTGAACAATAGTGAAGATACGGAGATACGACATTATTAATTCCTAGATGGGAGACCTTGTCATATGAAACCAGTCAGTCTGAGCTTTTCAAAAAATAAATAGGATATCAATTTAACAAACAGCACTACATGTTCTGGCTTGGAAAATAACTGAAGTAGGAAAAATCATTAAAAAAAATCCAAAGCAACAATTGAATCAATCTACTTCCAAACAAATCTTGAAAATTAACTAAGGCCTTTCCAGATGGAGTGGGGAGTTGAGGCACTTCTGTGGATCTGTTATACTGAACATGATGTACATAGTGCATGGACATATTTTCAAAATAATTTTGAGAAGATCAAAATATAAACAACGCAACTACCACTAGTTCTTACTGAGAGAGCTTTCAAAAATGCCTGAATAAGATCCATCCAAGTTCAGTAATATTATTCTAAGGCACTACTCATGTGTCAACCAACTAATTTTCAAAAGCCTGCTACATTAAGTAAATAACAGGAAATATATGTATTAATTGTTCAAAAGATCTGCTATAAAAGGATGTTTTAAATATTCCACACAAAAAATGTTTCAGTGATAGAAAATACATGGAACTGCAGTTACATATCACTATCATGAAAATATTTTGTTGCATGCATTTAAGCTAGGAAACCACACAACTGATCACAGATTCCTAGCGTACATTCATGTAACTAATAAGATAACTATGAAATAGGTCTCTTTTGCAATCTATACATAAACTGTATATTTTTCTGTACAAAGCCATACACTGGACAGAGAAGCAATTAACATTCTTCTTCACAAAATTGTAACACTTTAATTATACAGATTATTTCATACCAACTTTGGAAAATCTGAGAACAATGCAATACTAGGATCAATGGCAGTGTGATTGCCTGTAAAGGCCATCTACTAGGAGGCCAGTAGGCTTCCTTGTGTAGTTGATTGGCCCTATGAGAACAAATTGCTGGATTAGATGGGCCAGGGGTTAGCTCCTGCAAGGTAGTGTGTTTGTTCTTAATATAAAAGACAGAGACAGGGCAGAGCATAAAAGCTTGCTGAGAATTACTTTTCATATGACAAATTTCCAAACCCAAAGGACACATATGATACATTAAAATATCTAGGAAGTCTATTTTATGATACCATAAGCAACTACTTTTATGTAATGTTAGTACACTTACCTGAAACATATCAGTATCTTTATCATGTGTATATTCTACTACAACGGTCTGATTTCGTGACANGAGCCTCAATGTGTTTCTGAGTTGGTGTGTGAAATAAGCCATCTGCTGTTCTCCACAAGAGAGTGGCCCCACATAGATCAACGAGAGAACCATCTTGTAGGATGTTGGTTTCATTTTCCACCTAAAATGCCAGGCAGAAAAGAAGAAGAATTTGAAATCAATTCCTTTCTCAATGTTCCTCACACTTCTGGAATCAATGGAAGTTTCATTTTCCCTTTAATTTTTTTTATTATGATGACCCATCCAGCCTTTTCTTTTTTTCCTGTGTAGAACACTGAGATAATGGCATCAGTACAACAAATACCTGAATAAGAGCTAGAGCAATGGACAATTATTATTTGTTATTATTTTAGCAGTCTTTTCTAACTTCTGCATACTTAAGAGGTGTGAGTTCATCTACCAGAATTTCCTAGCCAACACAATTCCCTATATCCATATCCATCTGATTTATAAGCTGCCCCAATTACCCAAGTCTAATAATTAGCCACAAACATATTCAAATAATAAAATAAATAGAAAAATGCTTGTCTGAGAGCCTGTTGAAAGCCATGTTCCAAGGCTTGCATAAACAACAACAGTGCTATGGCTGCGTGGACTTTGGAGGAGTGAATAGGTGATATTATCTCATATAGGGCAGATAGAGCTACAGGAAAGCACTGAGATCTGACAGCATTTGAATGATGGAACCTGAAGCATCCCACTATACTAATTTTATAGGATGGGCAAACATAAATGGAAGAGGTGTTTCCATAGATCATCAGGCCTCAAGCCACAAAGAACTTTTTACACCCACTTTTTGTTTAGCAATTTCAGTTAGCAACCATTTGCAATATGATAGTAATCAAAATCATTTTCCAGCCAATGCAGCATTTACTATCAAATTTCATGCCCTGACAACACATAGAGAAAATCTGATTGACATGTCAGCAATCAGTGATCTTCACTGAGTTTCTCTCTCTCTCTCAGGTGTTCACCATTTCTTTAACTTGGTCGTCGGAATGGAACTCCATCGCTAAATGAAGACTGGGTGTAAACGATGACCAGCACTTTGAATTCCACCTACTTACCAATTACCAGCCAGTATAGATTGTGGAGCAGAAGTGAACCTAGAATGTTTCAAGGTATACCCATATCCACTCACAACTCCACAATCATGGCCAAATGTGGCTACCAATTAGTCTTCAAGGGTAGCCCACATACAATACACTGCAACAGTCCAACTTTGTGTAGTGTTTCCCAATTCAAGAAAGATTCTAAGTATATCTTTATGTATCTTTGTGAGCTGCAATGATTTCCAGTCTGTCTCTGGATGCAACTCAAGGTGCTAGTTATCACCCACAAGACCCAAGGTAATGTAATTTGCAGGATTCCTCAACTCTTATGGTCCCCCCATCCATTTCACCAGATCCAGCAGGTTAGGTATCCTCAGGGTCCCTTTTGTTAAGCTGGACTTCTTTCCCCCCAAATCCCTGTGTGGCTTCTCATTCGGGAGGTAAAATGGTTCTGTTGTAAGATGGATTCGTGTTTATTTACCTTTGCAGAGTTTTTTTGTTGTCTTGTTCTTTAAGCTTCTTTTGAATAATATTTACTGTTGGTTTAACTAAGAACCACTTTAATATTCTTTAATGCCTAGAAATAATTTTAAATCATGTTTTTCATCATTAACTTACTAGCTTGCCTCTTTGTTGAGCAGATCTTGTTTCCCGTAGAGTATATACATCACCGCAGACTGAAATTTCTCGCCAAACACCAGGTTTAGATTCTTCAGTGAACCCCCCTTTAGGATGCATGACTAGAACGCCATTAGTTGTTAATCCATCCATGTGCCCGTCTGGATTCTTCCATTTTGCTGCTTTTTCCTAAACAAAATGCCACAGCAAAAAATTAAAACAAATATTCAGGCTTTCCACACTTGCATTACCAAGTGCTTAATACAGCCAAGTATTAGCAGCCACATATCAGAGGATAAATAGAAGAACAAGAATACAGCTTGGAATCAAAAACAGATTATCAGTAACTTGGACTAAATGCTGTACAACTAAATAGTATTTTTGCTAACGGGTTTCCTTTATCCATTTCAAATAGAAAATAAGTTTGTCTTAATTACAGCCCTTCCAATAGATCATATACAGCAGCTTTCTTTGGCTTCATCTGTAAAATACTTTAATATTTATTATGAGAGACGCAGAAATAAATAATAGTCAATAAATAATATGTAAGTGGAACTAATTACCTGGGATTAATAGGGAAAGGAAAAGGAGAAAATGAAGTCTATTTTGAGATATATAGCAATTAAAAAAGAAACCGAATAGTGTTTTCAGAGAAAGAATGGACAAATTCTGACCAAACATTCAAAGCAAGCACTGCCGGTATTAGTTAGTCAAACTCAGTTCTCATTTCTTGCTTCATTTTTTTTTACAAAAATAAAAATGCTGCTCCTTTATACCACTACCATTGCTAAATGATCTTATTATATTATTGACTGCTTTCTTTGATTATTAACTCTACATATAAACTAAACATACATAAGGTGCTCTAAGTTGGCAGTGATGGGAGCAGCATATAAACATAGCATAAACAAAACAAAACAGAGGAAGCAAACAAGCAGGCCAGCCAAGCCAGCAAACTATCTACTTCTATCTGAGGTTCTGGAGAATTGCTACTAGTTTAAAGCCCATAATATTGGATAAGACGATTAAGCATTCTAGAGCGCAGTGCATGGGTTGCGTTTAAAGACCACCCAGAAGGTTCAACTGATGCAAAATGCAGCATCCTTGGTGCTCATGGGTGCTTGCTGTTGGACACACATTATACCTATTTTGGAAACCTGCAATGGATTCCTATCAGCTTCCAAGTGCAACTTAAATTACTGGTTTTAATCTATAAAGCTTTCTATGGCTTGGTGTTGTGTTATCTTCCTGTCCGCATCTCTCTGAAATCAGCACAACCATTTTGATCATGCTGGGAGAAGCAATTGGTTGGCTCTCATTTTTGGTATTTCAAAGAGACTGAGGCCCAGTTGCACAGTTTTTACCACCAGCTCAACTCTCTGGAAGGGCTTTTAGGAAGCTTCTTAAAACACAGTTTTTCTGGTGGTGTTTTGGGAGCTGATGCCAGATGCTCTATTTTCACTGTTGGTTTTATTTTCATTGTTATTGCTGGTTTTATCTTGTGAGTTGCCAAGAGTTAGTGTGTGATTGTAATTGGATGATAATGTGGTATATAAATACATATATAAAAGTACGACTATTCTCAGAACTCTTTATTCCTATTTTTATAAAATGGATGGATTTGTAAGAAACAGTCATCACTCTGAGAGAAGCTATTATATGAAGCAGCCCTTCATCATATGACACAGAGGTCATGTCCTGACTTATATGAAAATTTGGTATACTCACCCCAAGGAATATGTTTTTGGAAGAGTCAAATCCTGCAGCAAAAATTCTGGCTGTGTATGGTGCATTCCGGTCACAGACAATGCGGCATGCAAACCTGGAAATAGTACTTTGGGTGATCTGCGTTTCATCACTGTTTTGGCTGCCTGAAATTGTATCTGTTACAACAAAATCTATGGGGCTCTCTGTTGATCTGCCAACCTGAAAGAGTTAATAGTATATAAACAAAAAATCCCATAAGTGAAGTCCTGTGAACAAATCAAAGCGAACAGTTTAACTGTTCTTCACAAGCCCTTCCCACTAGAAATGGGCATAGTTTAAGTCAGCGTTTCTCAACCTTGGCAATTTTAAGCAGGGCTTTTTTTCTCGGTCTTTTCCACCGCCTTGAGTTTGGACCGGTGCGGGAGTAGTTTGGGATCCTGGCGGGGAAATCTCTTGTCCTTACGTTCATTTTAAACCCTCCCCGATAAAGGCCACACCCTCCCCGATAAAGGCCACGCCGGCCGGGCCTTTTTCCACGGCCTTGCGCCAAGGCGGCGCAAGGGGCTGAAAAAAAGCCCTGATTTTAAGATATGTGGACTTCATCTCCCAGAATTCCCCAGCCAGCATGGGGAATGCTGCTTCAGGATGCAGATCATCCTATATTCAATCACAGTTTGGAGGATCAGAGGTAACTGAATAGAAAAAAGACCTCTGCCTGAGGCTTGAAAATTACAGGTAGTCCTTGACTTACAACAATTCACCTAGTGACTGTTCAAAGTTACAATGGCACTGAAAAAAGTGACATATGGCTGTTTTTCACACTTATAACCATTGCATGCCCACAATCATGTGATCAAAATTCAGATGCTTGGCGACTGGCTCATATTTCTGACAATTGCAGGCTCCTGGGGTCATGAGGTCACCTTTTGCAACCGTCTGACAATGGGGAAGCCAGATTCACTTAACAGTCATGTTGCTGACTTAACAGCTGCAGTGATTCACTTAACAGCTGTACCAAGAAAGGTTGTAAAATGGGGCAAAATTCACTTAACTGTTTCACTTTGCAACAGAAATTTTGAGCTCAATTGTGGTTGTAAGTCGAGGACTACCTGTATTACATTCAAGTTAAATAACATTACACTAGATGTGCTGTTAGATGCACTCAGGAATTTCTTATTTTCACAATAAATATCGCTTACCAGAAGATATCTGCATACAGGTAGTCCTCAACTTATGACCATTCATTTAATGCCAGTTTGAATTAATGATGTCCTTGGAAATGATGCAAAACTTTGCATGCGCACACACACACCAGTCACATGACCACAGTCTGGGTGCTTGGCAACCTCTTTGCACTTATGACAAGTTGCCAAGCGCCCCATAATCATGTGATCATTATTTGCAATCTTTGCCGACTTCCCCAGAAAGTCAATGGGGAAGAGCTGGCTGGGAATGTTCAAGCTGCTGCTACTTGTTGAGAAGATTCCTTCTAGTCTCTGGAGGGTGGCTGAAAGAACTCCCTGTCAAAAGATTTCAGCTCCATGCCTGCTTGGATTTCAGCAGAGAGCGCTTTCAGTCAACCCCCAGAGAGAAAGAACTCCCTGCTGAAAAATTTGAGCTCTGCCCTGCTTGGATATTGGCAGGCTCCAACATCCAAGCAGGCATAGAGCTCAAATTCTTCAGCAGGGAACTTTTTCAGCCAGCCTCCAGAAATGAGAGGCAGCCAAAATCCAGGCACGATTTTCAGCCCCTGAATGGAGAGGCAGCATGAAAAGGTAGGGAGTGCAGAGTGCCTCAGGAAGGTGAGGAAGTCTCTGGGAAGACCAGTGGAGGCCCCCATGTGAGGATCTCTCCACTCGGGGGCTGAAAATCATGCTTGGATGTTAGCAGGGAAGATTTTCTACTCCTGAGTGAGAAGCACTCACGTGCAGCCTGCACCTTACAAGGTCTCCTCCAAGCCTCTGAGGCACCCTGCATGCCTTCCCCGAGACTCATGTCTGCTTAACAACGACCATTAGGAGCAAAACAACCATATGACATCTCTCTTAACCACTGAGAGTTCCAATTGTGGTCATAAGTTGAGGACACTTGTATTGCCTATGTGCGATTCCTCAAAAATGTTTTCCCCATCATGTTTTATTTAAGAACATGCTATCACAGTAATTACTGTAGTTTTTGATAGCCTGGACTTGAATCAATAAACTTGCTACAAAAGTTATCTGAAGCCCACATACACTTTCCAAAATCTGTGCCTCAACTGTTTTTTAATGTAATATTCATAGATTACTGCCACAGATGCAATTATTATCTAGAAATTTTATGTGTTTATTTGATTTTTTTCTTTTCTTTAGTAGAGGACTCAAATCAACATACACAATGCTCCGTACTCCCCCCTCCCCCAAACAACCATTCTGGAATACAATTTGGTCTGAGAAATTGCTTTATGAAGTATTACTATCTAGATCCATTTTTTAAAAATTCATCTAGGCAATTCTCTGGGTAAAGTAGCTTATTAGGTTACAGGAACACATTAAAACTTATTGCTGAAAAAAATTCAATTGTATTTTTTTTAAAAAAATCAACATTTGCCAGATGAGTTACTGAAACACCACTACATTTCCAATTTCATGCACTGTTTGCCATTCAGACATGACGCTACTTTATCTGATAGCTTTCATTCTAATAGGTGAAAAAAGTGCACCATATTGTCAAATCCAGTGTTTTTCTCCCATTTGAATATCCATCTGACTTACTTTGTCAACTACGAGACCAGTGTTAGAAATATGCTCCAAAAAACAACTAGGATGCTAACAGGCAGGAAGGAGAGGACAATCCCCTCCTATCTGTAGTCAACACAGAAATTCAGGATATTTTTTAATGGCCTTCTGTCAAGCAAATTGGTGAAAAAGTGGAACAATCTGTCCCTCTCCATCAGCCCATTACATTTCCATGCTAATTATGGAGGAAGAGGCTTCCTGTCCTAGCATGAAATAAAGTGCACTGGCAAAGAGGGGATGGAGCAATCCAATCTGTTCATTTGACTCAAAGCAATTCCTGGTTGTCCAGGCTACCAAAGAAGGCTTAAATACCAGGCTGTATCAGATAGTTGCCATAGTGAATATATGTCGCTCAGGGCTGAGTTGCTGGGTTGTTGGCATTCTCTGTGCTTACTTTTCTTCCTGCAGACATTTCATTACCAAGCTAGGTAACATTTTCAGTGCACAGGGAAGTGGAGATTACTGATTGTGTAGATGAGGTAGCTTGTCCTACCAGCCTTGATTGAGGCATCGCTTCTTCCTGGATTGCTTCTGAGTTAGATATTGTTTCTTCTTTGATTGTTCTTGTTTACCTGGTGTGGTTCAGGTTTACATGGGTTTTGTGTCAGATACTATCAACTACCTCAAGACTATAATTTCAGCAACATTATCACTCTCAGAAAGTCCAAGCTGGTTCATGACTGCTTATCTTGTGGTATAAACACTTATATTTTTTACATTCTAGAATCAATGTATAGGAAGCATTTAATTGCTGAACAATAGTGAAGATACGGAGATACGACATTATTAATTCCTAGATGGGAGACCTTGTCATATGAAACCAGTCAGTCTGAGCTTTTCAAAAAATAAATAGGATATCAATTTAACAAACAGCACTACATGTTCTGGCTTGGAAAATAATTGAAGTAGGAAAAATCATTTAAAAAAATCCAAAGCAACAATTGAATCAATCTACTTCCAAACAAATCTTGAAAATTAACTAAGGCCTTTCCAGATGGAGTGGGGAGTTGAGGCACTTCTGTGGATCTGTTATACTGAACATGATGTACATAGTGCATGGACATATTTTCAAAATAATTTTGAGAAGATCAAAATATAAACAACGCAACTACCACTAGTTCTTACTGAGAGAGCTTTCAAAAATGCCTGAATAAGATCCATCCAAGTTCAGGAATATTATTCTAAGGCACTACTCATGTGTCAACCAACTAATTTTCAAAAGCATGCTCCATTAAGTAAATAACAGGAAATATATGTATTAATTGTTCAAAAGATCTGCTATAAAAGGATGTTTTAAATATTCCACACAAAAAACGTTTCAGTGATAGAAAATACATGGAACTGCAGTTAGATATCACTATCATGAAAAGATTTTGTTGCATGCATTTAAGCTAGGAAACCACACAACTGATCACAGATTCCTAGCGTACATTCATGTAACTAATAAGATAACTATGAAATAGGTCTCTTTTGCAATCTATACATAAACTGTATATTTTTCTGTACAAAGCCATACACTGGACAGAGAAGCAATTAACATTCTTCTTCACAAAATTGTAACACTTTAATTATACAGATTATTTCATACCAACTTTGGAAAATCTGAGAACAATGCAATACTAGGATCAATGGCAGTGTGATTGCCTGTAAAGGCCATCTACTAGGAGGCCAGTAGGCTTCCTTGTGTAGTTGATTGGCCCTATGAGAACAAATTGCTGGATTAGATGGGCCAGGGGTTAGCTCCAGCAAGGTAGTGTGTTTGTTCTTAATATAAAAGACAGAGACAGGGCAGAGTTATTTTCGAACGACTCTTAATGAAAAGTATACTGTTTAAAGGTTTGGGTTTCCTGTGTATACTATGTAATTTTATAGATCCTTCAGATAAAATACTATGGTATTCGTTGATGAAAATACATTACAATCATGTGAATGGACTTTGTATAGTCATAGAAATAGTACACATATAAGATGATGTTGCCAGACTAAAGCACTGTACGTGTAGGAGATACTGTGTTGGCCCTTACAACTGATGGCCTGTAGAATAAAACATTCTCTGCTTTATTTAAATAACATTTCTGCCAGGGAAAGAACAGTATAAAAACACTTGTAAATGCACTTACAAACATGACTATATGCTTCAAATGGAGTTTTTAATTTTATGTACAGTACAGCATATACTGCAGTTATTAAGTGTAATCATAACAAATTAAATAAAAATATTTTTGGGGGAAACCAAGAATAATCTCCCATGTAAGATATAATCATTTATGAGTTTCTGAATGGGACAGGAGGTAGAAAATACTGAGATCCACACTTCAATATTTTTTTTTAAAAAAAGCATTATCTACTTCACAAAGTCAGGAAAAGAAAGTGCCTTCCTCTGATTTCAATTGTTCTGTTTTTTGTTTTGCATCTTTTTACATTGGAAATACTGCTTGCTGAAAATTTTCTAGAGGAAATTGATATTTTTATATGAAAACCTATTTTACAGATGTATTCAACATTTTATTTCAGTGTTTAAACCCTAGTACTACAATACAGCATTTTCTGTCACAAGAAACTTTATAGATCCATTTCTTCTTTTTACTCTGTGGCCAGAATGACTATACACCAAGGCGCATGGAACGCTCTTACTGCCCACCAAAGTGGTACCTATTTATCTATTTGCATTAGTATGCTTTCAAACTGCTACATGGGCAGGAGCTGGGGCAAGTAGCGGGAGCTCACTCCATCACACGGTAGGTACTTTGATCTTGAACCCAGGCTGATCCATCACACCCCCATGTTTGGGTATATTGATTACATGTATTATTATTTAAATACCCCTTCTCAAATTAAACATTAATTTTACTGTAATTAACAATAATAAATCGGTGGATAGTATTTTTAAATGTTCCTATTTTGTTAAAACTCCATTTATTAGATATATCTTTCTGAATACCACATGTATGCCTGTCCATACACACACACACACACACAGTCATTTTGTTTCAGACAACAGAAATCTGGGAAGATTCAAACCATACAGAAAATGCATTCTGAGTAATTACCTCATATTTTTAATACCTCTATTACCTGTAAATTGAATTAACCTTTTCATGGGTGAAATACCACAAACTAATTCACAGTTTATAGTTAGATCATTTCTCATTCTTTATAAGAGTTGTAAATTAACAATAATAAGAGCTTTTTATCAGAAAGACCTTTTAACATATAGGGGCATTTGCAAGGGGCATTTAAAAAAATCAAGATGGCAGCTTGAGTCGTGAGACAACTCTGCCTCGTGTATCATAATTGCCATATGAACTTTTTGACTTATACCCCCCCCCCCCCAATCATCCAGCTCTATGGATGCCTCTATATACTACTAAATACCCATACTTTTAAAATTCTCATTATGGGCAAGATGGGCAGCATACATGTTGAATAAAAAAAAAAGTAAAATGATCTTTAACTAAGTGAAATGGTGCCTCATAGAGCAACAATTTTTGAACCAAGGAAAGTCAAATGGGTTAACATATAGAATGTGTCCAAAATCTGCTGCAGTCATGTGATCATTTTCAACTTTTCATGATAGTTTCCCAGCAAGTTTTGCAATCCCTCACTTCTTCCCCCACCCAGCAAGAAGTAAGGAAACAAGGGAACTCAGTGGAAAAGATGACAAGAAGTCAGAAGTTGGTTCTGCTCCCACTGCTTTTTTGCTTACCTATGACATTCATTTTCTCTGTTTAGATGAGGAAATATCGCTGAAATGATGAGCCAACATGGGTTGTCTAGTATATTATACAACCAAAGTCCAAAGCTTGCATTTAACTGGCATTCCAAACAGAATAATCTGTCAGAAAAAACCTTGTATAGGTGCAACTAAGAAATACAAACTAAGGAACAAATGTTTCCCATTATTCTAAGAGTGCAACTTCCAACTGATTGACAGTCATACTTGACTCTGTGCAGCATATCAAAGGCAACATTCCAAAAGTGGATGGAGCCAGTCCATGTTGGATTTTATTATGTCACAAGAAACATTTTAAATTGTTTTTATAGGATTTTATTAATAATTTGTGTTTGGAACTCTGTATTTTGATATGGCCTATGGGCTAATCAATAAACTGAACTATAGAACAATGTAACAAGAAAGAAGATGTGTAAAAGATATTAATAAACTGCCTAGTCCAGGGGTAGGCAACCTTGGCTCTTTTATGACTTGTAGACTTCAACTCCCATAGCTGGCTCAGGAATTCTGGGAGTTGAAGTCCACAAGTCATAAAAGAGCCAAGGTTGCCTACCCCTGGCCTAATCATATTTATCTATGTAGATTCCCAATCATCCAGGTCATGGTCGTCTCAAAGGTGCTTTTTCAAAAGTCAACTGGACTATGTTTTTTCCCTTGACGAAGAAAAAGACATTTTGTTTCTCATCCAAGAAGCTTCATCAGTTCTGGCTGATGAAACGTCATCTTCTTCCTCAAGGGAAAAAATATGGTCCAACTGCCTTTTGAAAAAGCACCATTGAGACCAACTAGTCATATAGGTAATCTATGTTAATTATTCTGTAAGTATTAGAACTTACCAAAGCTTCAAGTGGGTAAGATATAATTTCCACTAAAATAAAGAAAAAATGTCCCTAATGCTCCTCTTGCTCAGAATTCTATCCTTAAAACACAACTAAAAGAGCTGATTTCAACAGGTGAACTAAATATGTTTATATGAATCAATTATTGAGCTGGCTATATATCTGAATGTTTGCACACAGTTTTCTACATCTGCTAATTTCCTCATTTTAAATGGCGTAATTATTATTTTATTATTTTTATTTTTAACTATTTTAATTATTTCTTTTACAATGTGCTTTTATGTCCTGCAAGCCGCCTTGAGTCACCATGTGTGAGTAGGTGGTAATATAAATTTTCTAAATAAATAAAGTAATCTCCTAAATATTTCTTAAATTCAGACTACCACATGCTTAGCCACTGATAGGTAATGTTTAATAAATATTTGTTCTGCAGATATGCTTAAGAATCCAGGTATAGCTGAAAAACATTCAGCCATTTCCAGTCAAATAATTAGAATTAAGGATATGTTTGAATGGTTATTTGGAAATAGTTGATTACAGACTACAAGCTAACCCCAGGTTCATAGGTTGGCATTCTGAAATATCCTTTAGCAATCCTGTTTTTTTAGTTCTATTTTCTACTAGGTAAATTATACATATGTTCCTCCCACATAGATACAGGGTGTCCTTAGTTTGTAATTACAGAAAATTAATGTCCTGTGTTTTTAAAACAACTATTCATTTAGTACTACTTGTACTTAATCTTATTTCACTGAAACCATTTAAAAAATTTGAAAAGCACATTCATAGGAGTTTGGTGCCTTTATCAAGTTTCTTTCAACATTTCTTTCTAAATACAAAACATTAAAGGGCCTACGAGCCAGATAACCCATTATTCTTGATGATTAAATTAACATTCTTTAAAATGGAAGTTCAGTAGCTATTAAGAAGAAAACAAAGAATTATTCATAGCTTTATAAGGCGTTCCAGTTATCTTCTATAAATATATAGAAGGCTTTTAGTGTTTGAATAGTACTAAGACAGGTGCAGAAACTAGAACCTAACAAATAGGTGAAACTAACAATTTTTTTATTATTATATAGACCACTGGACCCTAGCCAATTCCTGCTAGCTTACCTACGTCCCAAACTGAATATAGAAGATGCAAAAAGCCTTGCACCACATATAAGTTAAGCATACAAGTTATGCCTCTATCCTACACTACTTGGCAAAGTATATTGCTGCTTGCCAACTCCTGCTCTGATCACAGAATGGAGAAAGAATGAACATTGCACAGTTAGTGGGGATATTATCACCTCATTTACAGAAATATGTTGTTTACTTTGTTTCCTATCTCTTTCTCTGCTTTTGATCATTTATCTCTATGTATCAATTGAAAGGAAGAGCCAGTATAGTGTTAAGGCATCAGGCTACAAGCTAGGAGACTGAATTATAGTCCTGTGTTAGGTACATAGTGAGCTGAATGACCTTAGGCCAGTTACTTTCTCGCAGCCCTGGAAAGAAGGCAATGGTAAACCACTTCTGAAATCTTGCCAGGAAAATTGTAGGAACTAGTCTGGACAGTTCCCAGGAGCCAGGACAGACTGAAAGACACAAACATCCCCAAAAAATCCTACCACAATTTAAAGAAGTATTGCTGTATTTCCTAGCAATGCTGAATGCTTAGCAAAAATTTAGAGTGCTAAAAAGATAGGAGTGTCACACTGCCTTTTTATCCAATTATGAAAATCACAATGGGAGATAATGCTACACACAGTATTAGAGAAGATACTACACTGATTTATGTTGGAGTTACATATTGGTCCCTAATTCTCACTACAGCAAGGATAGAAACTACAACGTAACTTTAGGAAATGCATTATTTTCCTTGTGGGATAATATACTATGCTTTAGACTTGTCTCATTCAATTATTATAAGAACTATTGAGATAATATTCCCAAAGTGTTATGTTAATACTCTGCATCATAAATAGCATTCTTTAAATTATAAGTTATTAAAATGCAAATGTCTCCCTAAAAAAAGACAGCGGAAGGTTTATTTAAATGTACAAATGACCACTGAAAAAGAAAAACCACAAGTACAGTTTGGCAACTTGTTCTCTCCTTCACTATAGTTTCTCTGTAACATCTGAATGGAGGAAAACAGCTAGGTGTAATTACAAGCAATGCAGAGGACAATGAAACACAAACAAGAGTATATGTTATCTAAAAAAAACCAGCACCTGCTTTGATCTTACTGTCTAGATAATAGATGTTTCAGACCAAATGGCAGCATAATAAATACTTTGCAGGTCTGCTGTCAACATTACAGGTGCTATAGTGGAATGGACTCCTGCAGCATCTAGAATAAGGAACTTTCTAATCGTTTCTGTGGCTGATGTGAAGCCAGAAAGCCTTCCTTAGGCGACCTGTTACATAGAAATAAACACTTTGCCTTAAAGGAATGCATGTAAGCTACATAG